GCTGGTGTTCGGGTCCGAGCAGCAGCGAGTGGCGCAGTGACATGCGGATGCAGGCAGCGCTGGGACGGCCCAGTCTGCGCAGGGGGACGCTCGGGGGCTCGGGGACTGAGAAACTCAAGGTTTTCTGGGAGAACTCCTCCGCTTTGGGCTCTCCCGGGGCTGCTTTCTCATGCTGTAATGCCTTGCATTTCCGCACAGCGAGCACAAGTGTGGACAGCACTGGGAATAAAAGAGAATAACACAATCATGTGAAAACTGTAACAGTACTGTGAAAACAGTATATGTACTCTGTATTTACTGCTCCTCCTGTCTCTTATTAGAAAGATTTCTTTCAAATGTCATTAAGCTGTATTATTCTCTCGCTTCTGTCAGCAGGACATGTCTAGATGGGTTAGGAAAACAATGTTTCCTCTCAGGTTGATGGTCTGTGCTGGTTTATTTGTAAACTGATTTCACCAATGGTTTTCTTTCTGCTCAAGACCGTTAACAGAGTATTTTATAGATCTATATATGTTTAGTCAAAAGCACTTACCTGTCAGTGTGATCGGTGCAGGTGACCCAGCGGTTGGTGGAGCAGAGAAAGAGAATCAGAGATCAGAGTTAGCACACGGTGAACAGGCAGAGGATTTGTAGGATCAATGTATTCTTGACGCGTTACTAGTGAATGAATTGGCTATTTGCATTTAATCACTTGTCACTGTGAGGCTGAGGCCGTCATTTGGATTAGCTTGCTTTAATTAGGTCATAACCTTTCTTATCAACACATACCGCTCAGTCCAGTTTCTGCAGCATTAGCATTGTTCTAGCTCAGTTCAACAGTGTCTGGATGCACTAACTTGGTGTATTTATATGGTCAGTAAAATAAATTGATCATCGAATGATCTTAAAGCAGACGAGAACTGTAAATTAAATATCTTTATCAGATCTTGATGATCAAAGTGCACAAGAGCAAAGATTTCTCACTGGTTACACATTCTGCATCAGAAAACATCAGTCAGGCGCTCTTAGATCAGCTACTTCCCCCTGGAAATCAAACTCAAACCTGTAACACTGCTGGCACTATGCAGGACTCCATGGTGTTCAGGGTTTAGGATATTTTATGTTATATAAGACTATACGGACACAGGAACTGCCACCAAGATTTTTTCTTATGAGACACATTTGACAATGGCTAGCAGGGATTTCACTGTAAACATGGCCAGTGGCTGTGAGATGATTCTTTAGTTTCAGCTGAACATAACATTCAGCTTCATGAGCGGTGCACTGCTAACCCAGATCCAAGATTACAGAACTGGAAGTCATCACAAAATAATTGACCAAAGTGAGGAGTACAACGTCTGTCTGGTTTCTATGAGGAGTTCTTGTTAGGTCACACAATGGGGACTCATTTTGCACACAGCGTATAATTAACTTGATTAAACATCAGTGTTATTATATTAGTGTGAGCTCACACCGCTTTATCAGTATTTTGATTACGAGAGCTTATTAGCTAGTTCAGTGTTCACTGCTGTCATACCTGCCCAATTGAAGTGTAGAGAGTTTTCCAGCATTAACTCAAGAGCTCTGCTAGAAAAGAGAGTCTTGTAGATCAGCACTAATGCGACTGCACGCGCACCCCACACATCAATGGAAGTGGATAGATCTTATTAACATTAACTAGGTCATAATCATACATATTTCTGTCCTTCTAACACCCCCCCCCTCCCCTCCCTGATGCTGTACCTGCGAGTGTGATGCAGCAGACGGCCAGGCCTAGGAGGATCTGCATGCTGATGTCCAGAGGGAGAGTGTGTGTTTGCGCTCCATCTGATGGACAGTGGTCGTTCGGCTGACACACACACACCCTGATAGAGAGGGTGGAGGTGCTGGACAGGACGGGGGTGCCGCTGTCCCGGATCACCACCGGCAGATGGTAATGTGTTTGTTCCTGCCGTCTGAAGCTGCTCCGCCGCGCCAGCACGCTCGCTGTATTGTCTGAGTTTCAGAGAGGGAAGCAGTTAGATGAGCACGGTACACTCACGGTAATCAAACAACACATTCTGCAGACATATTGCTAATATACTATACACACATACACACATGCGCTTATATACTCTAGTTCAGCGGTGCTCAATCCTGTTCCTGATCTGCCTTCAGTTCATCTGCAGCCCTGATCAAACACACCTGCTTCAGTTAACCAGCTCTCCTTCAGATCACAGCTAGATGAGCTCCTTCCTCATTTCCTCCACTCATATGACCCACAAACTGATCAAGCTCCACCATTTTGTAGGATGTCTCAGTTACAATGTTTACAATGTGAACAGGCATCTATATTCTTCAAGAATGCAGAAATGTAAGCACCATCAGTGATGGACAGTGTTGATGAATTGATTGCCTTGAAGTGAAAGGAGCAGACGATGTGTTTCACTTGATTTAACTCCTCCGTCTTCGCATCTTTTTGTTCTTGTGTTTTTCCCTCAAATCCTGAAGAGTGGAGCTGAGACATGAGGAGAGGAAATGCGGATGCACAAATAAGAACCGAGGAGCGCTCTTGGGTTAGGTGTGTTTGAGCAGCAATGGAGCTGATCTCAGGACTCAGGAACAGGAAGGTAGATCTCCAGGAACAGCACTGGGCATCCCTGCTCTAGTTCACTGCGTCTGAATAGCTACACCTGTAAAAGACTTGTAAATAACACCAATGTGGACCCGACTCAGTGTTAGTGAAATTGCATATTCTGCATTTATAAAGCTCACATTGTGACATACCTTGGTTGTCTCTGATTGTGAAGTTGGGGTTGATGTGCTTGTCTGGGATCATGGAGAAATAGAAATGTTGTCCATCCACAGGATCATCTGCATCAGTGGCGCTGATCAGCTCAATAAGCTGAAGTCAGAAACACACAGAACATGTGAGTGTTTAAACAAGAGCCAGATCTGGAAATGCTTTGCTTTGCTGTTCTGGATCAGATCTTGTGTGTGCCCCAAATCCAGATTCCCATG